TAGAGGAATATAGGCAAAACGTGAACAGTATATCTAAAAGATGTATAGAAAAACATCCAACACTGAGTGGCACTTGAATATCTGTACATTACAATTCGTCCGTTATTAATGAACAAAAATGCCATAAAAATCCCATTTCTCGACGTTTACCCTTCTGTCAACATTGATGAAATTGGAAACACCTCTCGACTCACACCGCTTGTCTACGAATTTTATGCCAGCATTAATTTGGTTCATAAATACTTAACTATAGTCCGGAATGTGGAATAAACTTTTAAATGCATCGATGATAAGTGCCCATAAAAGCACGGTACAAGAGAATTGCAACAAAAGTTTGCGTTTTCCTATTCCTGAAAACGATCAGTCGAATGAACCATTAGTCTGCTGTGAACAGTATACTCGGATAAAATATATAGAGCGTTTTTTCGTGACGTCACAGCGGCCATATTGGAGTCTCAGACAACGAAACCTGTCTCAAACAAAGGCCTGTATTGGGTTAGGCCTTGTTTTGTTACAATAAATTGCAATTATGCTGGCCACGTGAGTGAAAACACTTTTGACGCCAGTGGGTCATGTGGCCTTTTAATCCAATCAGCCATTACCTTCTGAGGAAAAGAATGAGATTCAACCAACCAAAGAACAAAGCGATTGCACCCACTTCCTGCTTGTATCCTAGTTTACAATCACACGCCGGGAAAATGTAAGCAAGGGCAGACACGTAGGCAATCCATTCCAGATAGTGAGAAAAGAAGACGAGATATCTCTTTTTCTGAAACCGGTTAATATATAAAAAGGAAAAGTTGTGAGGAAAGTTAGCACGTCATTTCATGCCAGTCTCCCTCACAGCCCTTTTTGTCTCGTCACGAAACGCTCCTCGACGAGCGCTGAGTGACGAGACAAAAACGGTTGCGAGGGAGGCTAATTTCCTGCAGATGGCGTTGGAAAATAAAAGTGATGGTGAACATTTATTGAATGAAGCTGAGTATATGAAGGATTAAGCAGATCACTGGGAGAGTGCCAACGGCCTCGGTGGATCCCCACGAGATTTACTTAATTCTTCATATCACACGAAAGACTGATTCGATAATTGTTTTTTTTTTTTGTCATATTCATTCAAAATATTTCTAAGTTTTTATCATCCTTACTACCTCATAGACTTTCCTGAAAACAATTCCGTGGATCGGAGACTCATCGTCTTAGAATATTTACAGATGTTTTTGTTTTGTAAATTGCAATGTTTGTTCTTAGTAACTGTTGCTTTGGTGCCGCTCCATTCAGTAATGTAGGAGCTGCTAGTAAGGTGTTTCCTTATTGGTCGTAGAAAACAATAACACATCATTGTTTATCTTTATTTCTTATTGTTTCACGGTAAGGTTATCCAACCAATTAGTTTTTAGGGTTAGGAGAGCTTCTACATGCCGCTTCATTTGCCAACATCAGGCAATAATGTTGCCTTATTAGAGTACCAACCTGCATTTTCAACTGAAAAAGTTTCTTCATTGCGTGAACCATCGTGATTATAGCTACGAAATACTGAAGAAACTGGGTCACCTGTAATTGAAAAGAATTATGCAATCCAAATAAGAAAACCTCGATGAAAATTGTTATGTTCCTACACTTTCACTAAACTAAACATGGCCGGACTGCCAG